TCCTTACGCTTTTGAAAATATGAATTACTCCTTGCTAACAAGAGGTGGTGATTTATCAGCCTCCTCCTCCTAGTGTTAAATATCAATCTTGTCAATAAATGTAGCGTATTAGTCTTCCGACTGCTAAAGGAACAATAAACCAGTGATTTGATTTGATTTGTTTTTTGTGCTGTTGAGGAAAAAATGAAAGTCATTTTCTCTCATTTCCAGGCACCTTTTAGGAGATCTTAAAACCGCTACGCCCTTAGCTCTAGCTGCGATTGCAACGATCTGTTCAAGACAGAATCAGGACGCATTCGACTGACCGTATTCTGGAATAAGAATACACAGAAAGTTTGATACAAATCTCTTTTACCGGGACTTTTGGACTACTGGAATGCTACATGCATCTTGTTGATATTGTTTTCCTTGAGATACTGAAATGCACGTTAGCTTCAGTTTAGTTTCCTTTGTGTTTTGAACATCTATTTTCTTACCTGTTTGTTCAAAACCAACAAACACAAGTGACTTGGGCTGCGCTGGCAATTACCAACTTTCCACTTTGAATTCTTCTAAAACGCAATAATTTTTTTTAACAAAAATAAATGATAAATAGTGATCTAACGGGATTTCCAGGAGTGGAAAATCCGCACCTCTTACCGTGTTTGTTACATAACATATTTTAAGTGTACTACGACCGAGTCGAATGACTGGAATGACGACTCTACAAAGAAAGAAAAGTTGACAGAAAGAAAAGGAAAGAAAAGATTGATTATCATGCGACGAAATCTGACCGAGCCAAACACGCAGAAGGAACAGAACAGACAGAAGGACAAGTTGAGTCAAGTAGCAATATGCGAATTATTAAAGACGAGGAACGGTCCTTAGTTAGAGGGAAAGGCTTATGCAAAGCAAAATGTGCTCCTGGCAAAACTAAATTGGTCTAAATTTTTAAATTTATTATGGTGACTAAGCTGAGCTTCCCACGCAAATTTAACATATAATAACCTCACGGCTATTTTGCTTCCATTTTGAAAATTACACAAGAGACCGCTCGGGAGTGATGGCGCCCGTCGTTTTGAACAAAGGTTGTGTACGAGGCAACAGAAGGCCTTCGATGGAATTTTGTTAAGCAATTTATTTTCACACCAAAGCCGGCAATTAATCATTTGCAGTTTTGATCGCTAGCGTAAAGTTTCGAAAATTTTCTTGTACTGAAGAGACAATGTGGAGAATTTTCCCCCTTGTTTTGATTATCTGCGTCAGCCTCATTTATGCCAGGCCCAAGAAACTCATGGAAGCTAAGGGAAGCGCGAATGTAATGGCCATGTAAGTATTAAGTAAAGACACAAAGTGAGAAACCCGATAATTCAGTAAAATCATAAAAACCGAACCCACACGGAGTTGGCATTCTGAGTGATGGATTATTAACTCACTATAAAATGCATCATAGTTTAACTTGAAAATAATTTAAAATTAACTCAGTGGAAATAGTTCAATAGCGCAAAGTGAAAATAATTTCCATGTTGAAATCACAGGACAAAGACGTTTATAGCTCCATTGTAACGAAAAGTTCATGCCATTTATGAAATGTTCCCAGTGAACGTTTTGTTAATGGTTAACCATGAAGTTCTATTGGTGAATTTATATTGCGCCATCGACATCTAAAGAAAAATAACGACTACACATTTTAACCCCCCCCCCCTTCACCCCCGCCATAACATGAACAATTATAAAACAAAAGCCTATAACGAGAGGGAGTTTTTTGGCATTTGGTTTGGCGGCGACTTTGCTCCAGTGTCCTTTAGGTGGCTAGAATGGCTTATTTGGACTGTCCATAAGTCCTTTGCTACTTTGAAAGTAAAGGCGCGATGCACGCACTGCAATGCTACGGTGGCGTTTCTTTTTATTTTTCTAATATCAATCTCCGATTCACTTTTTTGTTACCTTCTCCACGTTTTACCCGTGCAAAAGACTATAATTAAATCCCGGGAGAGAGAAATTATACTACTAACTGTTTGTACCAAAACAAATTGGCTAAGGCTCCGCAGTTGGTGTTGCTGTCGGGGGAATGGGGGGCTCAAAATGGGTGAATTTATGTGTTCTAAAATTTACATGCCCCAACCAACAACCGTGTACTAGCATGTAAGATACGAAGACCGGTCCGCACTTGCGAGAAAAACGCAAACACAAACGCCAACGCCAACGCAAAAGGCATTATATACAGATACAAACGCAAATACAAGCACACTGAAGTATGTACTCGTATATATCATAATGCGGCGCACAAAGTGGATTTTCTGGCGTTCAAACTTCCTCACCACAGAGTAAAGTGCGGAGGTAAGCTCCCTCTGCCCGTGTTCGTATTTTACGCGCGGAAAAGTAGATAAATTAAAAACGCTTGAAGGCAAGGAAATAGAAAAACCGTTCGTATTTACGTTATAGTTGAAAAATAGTGCCAAATACGAATGCAATAGAAATTGAATAGCGCGCGGAACTGGAAAAGAGATTCAACTTCTTCCGCCGGCAACCACGTCTTAGATGTGCATGTGGCTAATGCCTACAGTGTCCTAGAAATACGAAATCTCTTGTTAGAAGTGGAAAAACCTTAGTCTTTTTTTCCATTTAGTCTTGATGCTGGTAACGAGAATGTTAAACGACACTGGCAAAACTGGCATAATAACCATGGTAATAGTGGAAGTAATGGCAGCGGCGGACATAACAGTCATCCAGGATGGCTCCGCGGGTGAGTTGACCAACACCTCTGATATGTCATACCACCAACCTTCTCACCAGGGCTGCCCTAAGGACGAGGTTGCAGTACCACCTGCCACCGTCACCCTTACAACAAACCCTACTACCAGCACAGTTGCCAATAGTATCTCAATCACCATCTCCATATCCTATTAACCCCTATTAACACCACCTCTAACAACCCAATCACCACTACAACTACGTCTACCAATCCCTATCACCACCACCACTACCAGTCCCCATCACCACCACCACTGCCACGCATGTGACCCACCACTAATAACCCCTTCACCATCACCACTGCCACCCTTGTCACCACTACCAACCCTCATCACCACCACCACTGTCACACTTGTCACCACAGCAACTACTAACTCCATCACCACCACCACCGCCACCCTTGTCACCACCTCGACTACAAACCTTTATCACCTCCACCTGTACCAATCCCATCCCACCACCTCTACCAAACGCAGCATCACCACTTCTGTGAACCCCCATCATTACAACCATTGCCCCCATCATACTACCACCTCTACCACCGCAACCACTTTCAACAACAACAACATTTAGGCTAAATTAACCAAAGGTAAAATTTTCGTTATTCTTTCAGGCCCGAGGAGACAAAATAAAGATGGTCAAAGAAAACCACGGGTAGCTCTGTCAACATATGCACAATTTCTTTTTAAACAAACCCGCTGATCTACAGTCGTCTTCTAAGGGTTTTCAATATACCGCACGGGGTTAAATATCCGATTAGGAAAATAGAATAAACAGTTAATGATGAATAAAAACGAAAGTAATCTTGTTCGCCCGTGAGTTCTAAATGTGTGTCCTTTAAAAGTTGCATCATTTATTGTTCCTTTTTTGTATTATCACCTGTATTGGGAAATAAAACATACAAGCTAAAGAGGTCTATTGCTCATGTTCACGAAATAAGATGGCCTGACGAAGGACAGCTGTCAAGGAAAAAAGAATTATGTACCCTGGGTGCCAGAGGCCGCGGTTTCCGGTTTCGGCCTTTGGCCGACGAAACGAAGCTGCCCGTCGCACGCGAGAAAAAACCTCTGGTACCCAGGGTAAGGATTATGTCGCCTGGCAAAAATTGTAGGCCTCTAAATCTTCTCGATGGGCATCTTTGAAGTTTGGTGATACTTAAGAAATTTTGATAAATGAAAAAAAAAAATCGATACTAGAAATGGCCTTTTGTTGACATATTTTTTTGCAAAACAAACAAAATTTTGCGTGGTGCAAACAGGACTGAACTAGATACGATTAGGTATATCTTTATTGCTTACGTCACCCAACACGACGAAATTAGCCGAACTAAAAGAAAAATGCTTAATTGGGTAGAAACTGTCTTGGTGCTGTTAATAATGTGGAACGTCAGATTCCAACGGCCAAACGACCGCAAAGACACACACACAAAATCTTACGATAAATCCAAATTTGAGGAAGAAAAAACTTAACTTGCAAGGTAATAGGAGGTATAACTCAAATCCAACATTGGAAACACACATGTAGCATGGAAAATAGATCCATGCGGTATCATTCCGACCCAGGAGCTAGACCCAAATATTTTGGTGTTGTTTGACTACACCGTGCTTCCCCTCTCTGATGACAATTTCTTGGCGGACTCGATTATAACTACATATAGGGTCAACAGCAAAGCGTCATTTTAAAGGGCAGTGGTAATGTAGTCGTTCAAAGCAAAGCATTCAACAGTAAATTTTTTTTTCAATGTAAGTTCAACTTTTTATAATGTATCGAACGTTTTGGCAAAAAGGCATCTAGTGTAGCATAAAGCGCGCACGCTTGTATTTTCCCTTAAGAAGCGCTGGTTATTCAATTTTTTTAAAGTAAATTACGATTTACATACCCTGGGTACCAGAGGGTTTTTCTCGCGTGCGGCGACAATTTTCGGTGTTGGCCGTAGGCCGAAGCCACGAGCGGCGAAGCTTTTTGCGCGGGTCACTATAAAGACTTGACAGAAACCGGAAACCGCGCTAGAAAAGTCTCTGGCACCCAGGGTACGATTTACAGTCAAACCGGTAAAACGGTGAACACCAGAAATATTTCTGGAATGTTAGTGTCTTGCAAGAGAAAAGCCAAGCAGGCGTGAGAAAGCTAAAAGGCAAGCAAGAACGTTAATTAATTTGTGGTTTGGTGACCAGTTCGCGTGTCCTGATCTTTGCTGTGATTGGTCATAACACAATAAACATTTTTGAAATATTTCAAGTGTTCACGGTTTTCCCGGTCGCACTGTAATTATCGGTAGTTTTGTTCCAGTCAAGCGTTACGTCATCTCCATAAAGAATAAACGGAGCCCAGTGCGTTTCTTCGCTGAACTTGTCAGAGTTCCTCATGTCTTTCATGGTTTGGTGAAGAGCTCTACTTGCACTCATATTATGGTCAATCAGGTGTTTATAAAAGCTTTCCATGAAGGCAAGGGTAGCTTTATCCTCAATAGTCCATAACGGTGCGAGAACTGAACGGGCACCAGAAACAAGAAAGCCACGAACCATTCCAACAACTCCTTCAGCATTCCAGATCCTTCCGCGGGCACCATGACAGATGCTGAGCACTACCAGTTTGGCTCTTACAGTAACTTCTGCTACATCGTTTACAGCTAGAATATAACTTCCCTCGGTGCACATATCCTGATCATCGGCAGCAAGGGCGATAGCTCCATCTTCTTCGCGGCCATGGGTAGCGAAGTGCAGCAAACTGACATCTGGCATTTTACGCAATACTTCTCTTTTTGTAGCCTCCTTGCCTGTAAGACACGACTCCTGCTCTCCAAGAAGATTGGCTATCAATTTCACTTCTTTTAACGCATCAGGTAATTGTGGTAGCGAAAGAAGGGGAACGGAAGGATCACCCACGAGCAGCGCTCCGACATTAGAATGGTATTCCTTCGGCAAATCTTGGAGGATTTTGAGTGTTGTAATGGACGGAATGACGCGCATTCTCACCTTATCTGCTAGGTAATCGTCATTAGTGTTTCTCAGTAACGCAAATGGACATCGAAAGATGGCTCCTTCAGGAACGAAAATAATCTCTTCGTCATCTGGAAGTTCTTTAACAACGCCGAAGATTACCTGGTGCAAAAAGCTCAGCTCATCGTCTTCACGTGGACAAGCTAAAAGCTTAGAAACCATGGCCACCGAAGGACCTTCTTCCACTGGCATTTTCGATGAAGTTTGGGGGGTTGTCTGCCTGTCTGCAGAATCATCGCTTGCTAAAGCTCTGTCTTCACAATGTACTGAGCCTGTACGGAGAAAGTTAATCAATGAGAAATTCAATTTTAGATCCTCAGGCACAACGTAGGACTTAAAGGTTAGATTTCCAAGCCTGTTAATAAACCAGAGACAAATGCTGTCTTGTAATGTGGCGATAAACAATAGGTTCTCTCCGCGTTTTGCGATAAACGAAAAGGTGGCGTTTAAACTGTGTAACGTTGTTGAAGAAACTCCCGGGTTTTTATCTTTCTTTAAATTGAGCAACTCCACAAGTATGCGGGCACGAGAATTCTCCAAGGTTAACAAGGCATCTGCGAAATCTTCACAGCCAATTTGTCTCAAGGCAAGTGTCTTGTAGAGCAGAAGGCTTTGCTCATCCAACTGAAGCTTGAGCTCTTCAGTAAGGGGTTCTCGACTAATCTCGTGTCTTTCAATTTCCCCAACCAACTGGTCTGAGGCGCTGTAGAACTTAACTCTGGACATGTGAGAGAGGTTTATTTTAAATAAAATAAGGCGTTCACTTTTTTTAACTCCAATGTCCTCAATAACCTCGAGTCCCTTTTCTCTATGCGCAATCCACTGCCCAGACTGAGCGGCTTGCTTTGGTTTGTTTGAAAACACTCGCTCAAGTTTGTTTGCCTTCTCGTAGTAGAGCTGAGATTCCCGAAGCTGACCAAGGGCATTGTAAACACTACTGATTTCTCTGTAGGCGCGACATTCTCCTGCAATGTCTCCAAGTTCCTTTCTTATGTTGAGGCCTTTGTTGTAATTCTCCAGTGACAAATCGTACTTACCGAGAGCTTGATACAAACCGCCCAGGTTGCTGTAGGAAACTGACAATAGTTTTCTCGCTTCAGTAGATTGCAATCTCTGGCAAGCCTGCTCCTGATACTGGATAGCAATTTCATATCTGCCCATGCAATAATACGCACAGCTGAGGTTGTTGTAGGTGATGCTTGTTCCAGTGGTGTCATTAACCTCTTGTCTCATTTCTAGGCTTTCCTCATAGCGGCTAATGGAGGCAGCGTACTGGCCATTTGCAAGGTACACATTGCCAATGCTGTTCAGGGCCATTGCCTCTCTCCTTTTGTTGTTGCGACCAAGACATTTTGAATAATAACTGATTGCTCGGTCAAACTGACCACGATCGTTGCATAAACTACCAAGACTGCAATAGCATTCTAGTTGTCCTTCTACGTCTCCATTTTCTTGACTAAGTTTAAGGGCCTTTTCTTGAAAACTGAACGCTTTATCATACTGACAGGCAGCGTTATACACAATGGCCAGATTCGTGTCGATTCTTTGCTCTTCTAGCTTGTTTCCAGTAGCCTTGATCATTTCAGCTGCTTGTTTAAAATACCAAATGGACGCATGATAACGACTCATAGAATAAAATGTAGACCCAAGTGTTTCGTAAAACGCAATTTTTCTCTCCTCTTCGTCATTTATCCCTGATCCATCATCTAGAAAATTCGATGAGAACGTTTTGCTTTGCACCTCATTGAATGCCCCTTTCTCTTGGTCATGTTCACTTTGCAGAATTTCTTTAGTCGCTTTAAGCTTATTAGAAAGATCACTGACATAAGCATCAAACTTTTTCTTGGAGTGACCTACCGGCAACTCTGCTGTTTTAAAAGCGAACAGACTGAGAAGGCTTATAACCTCCTCATATAGGTCGATGGCATGAATATAACGATGTGTGTTGAAAAGAAAATCGGCTACCATTATTGCAGTCTCAAAAGCCTGGGGATTCTGAATTTCATCGTCAACATTTGGTAGAAGTTCGTTTCCCCTGTACGTAAAAAGAAAAAATAAAATAAAATAAATGCAGAGAAAAGACTCGGGGCCCGGTTCAAACGTCGAACTTTTCATGTACCGAACCTAATTCCTTCAATTAAGTACATGAAGAGATCGACGTTTGAATAAATAAAATCCGACATGTCTAGTTTGAGTCGACCCATGAATTAAGATCGAGTGGCCCACATGGGAATATCGGATGTGGAGCGACTTCGTTTCAAACATCGAACTTCTCATGTACCGAACCTAATGCACAAATAACTAACTTATTTTCACTTGCAAGCATTTTAGATAATTAAACATCGTGGAAATGAATTGAGTCTGACTAATTAAGTTCGACATCTGAATCAACCGTCGAACTTGTGTCATTTGGGTCGACCTAAATCCATATTAACTTCGAAACATGAGGGCATCGACGTTTAAACAGGGCCTTACTTTCTTGGACTTCGGAAAAGTCGAAGCAACTATCATATCCTTTAAAAGGAGTAGCGCACAAAAGCTAGGGAATGTCTGACGCGCCGGAAGCTCAATGCGGTTTTTGTAGTATGAATTTATTATTATAATTATTATTATTATTATTATTATTATTATTATTAGAAGGGCAAGGAGCAGGACAATGTTACCCCCAAAGGCAGTGAGTCGCCGGTTCGGGGCGGGGCACTCAAGAGAAGTTTGGGTATAGCGTTTCTGCCTTACTAACTAGTGGATCTAGCTACAGAACCAGTGATATCCAGACTTTGACTAGTCTGATTTATCTCTTAGTAGCTTTTACTTTATCTATTTTTTTTTTCTTCATGGTTTTCATTGTTTTAGCATGCTTAATGCGATGTGTTGTCCAGTTGCTAAGTAATAAAAGTGGCTTAAGGTAAAGCAAACAGATTTTTATTAATTAAAAAAATCAAACAGAAGATTTTAGTGATTACCTTTCGACGGCATCTGGAATATTAAAACTGCTGGGTACTGGAAAGCCACGGACAGCAAGGTTTCTGCGTACAGGGGGAACTTCATAATCAGGTTCGCTTGACATCGTGTCGCTGTTATCAGATAAAAATATGTCTTTAAAGCCTCCGCTAAAAGTTGAAACAATAACGTCTCTGTCACTAATATAAGTCGCCTCTGATCATTGTTTACAACATATCTTCCTTCACTATTCGTATTCCTTATAAATCTGATGAAGACTGGCACTGGCAAGTCGAAATATCCAATCCTACTGGTACGTATACTCCCATTGGCCATCACGTTTTATTGATTTCCGTTTTAGTTTGACCAATCGTGGTTTCTTTTTTGATCCAAAGTCTTGATCGTTTAAGTTTTTGTAGTGGGGGTTAAATAGAGCTTAAGCCACACCTGAGCTGGTTTTGCTAGTCATTTCTGAAGATTCTCTCCACCTGTTTCATAATGGATTCCCCCAAACGGTAATCACGTGAACTCTAATCTGCTACACAGTCGTTTTTAGTGTCGTCACGCAATGCTCCTCCCCACAGTGGGGAGGAGCGTTGCGTGACGACACTAAAAACGGCTGTGTAGCAGACTATGTGAACTCCTGAGAGTGCCAATTTATAAATAAAATTCCCCAGTCGGAGAATGATTATTGGCTAAGGACTGGTTTGAATGATCTTCCGAATAAAATTAATTGCAATTGAACACACGCGTTCACTGGTGCGTGAAGATACAGGGTAAAATATTCGCCGGGCTAGCAGCTGGCTAGTTCTTATTCTCGGTCGTCTCGATCAATTGTTAGGACTTTCAGCCCATTCGTTGTGCTTGATAGTACAATAGTGGAATTTTATTAACGGAGGAGTGGAAACACGAGCACTTAAGTCTATATTAAAAGAGCTATAACCATTTTCACTTCTTTCACTGAATTTTCTAAATGTACGGCATGCAAAAAAGGAAAGGCTAGGCGCATAATTTTTTTTGCATGTTATTGTACCGTATTTATTCCAATAAGCGCCCAACCTCGAATTAGCGCCCACCTAGAATAACCGCCCATCCTAAAGGCAGAAAAAGTTAATAAGCGCCCACCCCCAACCCACCTACTTGAGTGACAATGAGATTAAAATTGAAATTGAATAAGTACTAATAAGAGACTTCCCCGAAGACGGACTTTTCTTCAGAGTAGTTTACAGAAACCTTGCTTTGTTACATCTTCGTGTTTTGTTATTACCATTTATTGTTTTGTTACAAAATAAACATACTGCACTTGCTGAAAATGGCGAGAATTTAATAAGCGCCAAGCCTCGAATAAGCACCCACCTCGAATAATCGCCCACTCTAAAGGTGCAAAAGTTTATTAATAAGCGTCCAGGGCGGTTAATCGAATAAGTACGGTATCTTAGGTGGCACTACAAATAAAGCACGCCGAGGCCTGACTGAATGAAAGAGAGAAGTTTTCTTTACAGGAAGGGGAGGTACATTTTGTCCAAAATAGGCCCTTTGCACGAGTTGATCACGTGATCAACTTTCACTAAACACGAAAACAGTTCGCTTCTGAAAAGTTTTGTTAGCACAAGCTGAAAGAGCATATTAAAATTAGGAAACCAGTGAATTTTCAGCCGCCGTATATCTAAAAAGTAGCTATTGCAACGGCCGTCGAAAGTTAGAAGCATTTGTATGAGAAAAACAACTTTTGCCACCCAGTCACGCTTGCATGGTTTCCCACACAAAGCCTTGTAAATTTCAAAATTTTCAGAATTTTTCAAATTTTAGAATTTACAAGGATTTGTATGGAAGACTGGGAGGGAAGAGTTGTTTTTCTCATACAAATCCTTCTAATTTTCGGCGCCCGTTGCAAAAATACATCTTTTATCACTCTCCATGTTTTATTAAACCATGTTTTATTAATTTAATCCATGTTTTATCACTCCATGCTTTATTAATCCATGTTTTATTAACCATGTTTTATCACTCCATGTTTCATTAATCCATGTTTTATCACTCCATGTTTTATTAATCCATGTTTTATTAACCATCTTTTATCACTCCATGTTTCATTAATCCATGTTTTATTAATTTAATCTATGTTTTATCACTCCATGTTTTATTAATCCATATTTTCTCTACCCATGTTTTATTAATTTAATTAATGTTTTATTAATCCATGTTTTATCACTCCATGTTTTACTAATCCATGTTTTATCACTCCATGTTTTATTATTCCATGTTATATCACTCCATGTTGTATTTTAAATCCATGTTTTATCACTCCATGTTTTATTAATTTAATCCATGTTTTATCACTCCATGTTTTATAATTCTATGTTATATCACTCCATGTTTTATTTTAAATCCATGTTTTATTAATCCGTTTTATTAATCCATGTTTTATTACTCCATGTTTTATTAATTTAATCCATGTATTATCACTCCATGTTTTATTAATCCATATTTTCTCACTCCATGTTTTATTAATTTAATCCATGTTTTATTATTCCATGTTATATCACTCCATGTTTAATTTTAAATCCATGTTTTATTATTCCATGTTATATCACTCCATGTTTTATTTTAAATCCATGTTTTATCACTCCATGTTTTATTAATCTGTTTCATTAATCCATGTTTTATTAATTTAATCCTATTTTAACACTCCATGTTTTATTAATCCATGTTTTATTAATTCATGTTTTATTAATCCATGTGTTATTAATCCATGTTTTATTAATCCGTTTTCTCACTTCATGTTTATTAATCCATGTTTTATTAATCCATGTTTTATCACTCCATGTCTTATTAATCCATGTTTTCTCACTCCATGTTTTATTAATCGATGTTTTCTCACACCATGTTTTATTAATCCACGTTTTATTAATGCGTGTTTAATCACTCCATGCCTTCCCGTACGATACAGAAGACGTTAAAACAGCGCTGCTTTAGCGACTTATGAGCGCTGCAACGAGCGCTGCAGAAAGGTTGCACAAACGCTGTTTTCCGTTCGCTGCAGCAGTGCATTTTTGTGACTGCGTTAACGCTGCGGTAGCGACACTGAGAGCTGCAGGAGCGCTGCCGTAAAGATGCAAAAAAATAGCCACACGAGGCCATACGGTCGATAAACAGCTTTTATGCAGCGCTGTGCAGCGTTAGTGAAGCGCTGCAAAGAATAGTTGTACAAAAAAAAAGAAATGCAGACTTCAACAATACAATAATCATGAGACATGGTAAAAGGAATTGACAACAGGCCTTATGGTAGCGGAGTAAAAACCACAAGAAAGACAAAATGCAACTGATACTTTATTAGTATCCACGCGTACACGTTACAAAAGCAGGTGACATATAAAAAAACTACAACAGTCTCGCTTTGTAAATATTCAGCAATCACGGTCACTCATCTAAATGTAAGAACATCCATTAACATGCCGACATTGAAATTTATCTTTTTTAAAGATAAGGAGAATAAGAGCGATTGTTCTACATAAAGTTTGCACGGACAGCAGCCAAATGATGTTTTGATTCGTTGCAACAGATTAAGCCTAACATCGCTCACCTTGACGTTTTGTCCATGATCCACGATCTGCCGTCACTGTTTTCATGAAAGAAATCAACCCAATTTTACTTTGGTCGTCGTTAAATTTTACAATGGACTAAGGAACGTACATCATCATGAACGTTTGAATCCTGTAAATACATGCGTACCCCAGCTGAGATTCTTGTATCTGTGTTGCTTGCTCTGGTTCGATTCGTCGGTACTTCGCGTAGAATTCACTGAACAGTGCCGTTGTTTTCAAATACCTTTGAGCTGTTCCATCCAAAAACATCAACAGAACTTCCACCTCGAAACAGAACTAGATGCTAAAAACTTACAATGTATAAATGTTTGCGCCTTTCATTCAACGGTCGCAAATGTTTGTCTAGCGATGTAATGTGATCTGATGCAAAAGTGCCGACCAATTAGATTACAGCCTAGAATGTCTCCAGGGAATTAGCGATAACATTCCCACACTCGCGAGTCACGGAATAAAATTTATTGAAATCTTTATTCCATGTTCCAAAAGCATAGAATTTGGAGGTTTATTCAATAAGTGGTCTTCCCTGCGCACAAGCTTACTCACATTTCTTAGAGGTACAGTCAAAGTTTTCTCGTTATGAAAGCCATAATCTGTGGCAAAAGGCTTTTCTGGCGATTCATGTTATGAGCGCTCAAGAACGTTGTGCTATCAGATCGAGCGCAGCTGAATTGTGGCGTTACTGAAGCTATGCAAAACTGCTGAAGCAATTTTGAAGCGATTTGTGGTGCCGTACAGCGCTGCAAGTTTCGTACGGGTTTGCTCTCCAGGTTTTAATTTTGAAGATCTTTAAGTCCTTATTTGGTATCTGCAGCGTTGTGCAGCGATAATGCAGCCTCAAGAGTCGCTTGTATTCAGGTTGTCATATGGAGTGGTTTCAATGTTTATATCTAAGTCTCATTGCAGCTTTTAAGCAGCGGCCCGCAGCGCTGCTTTACAGCTGCTTTACCGTGGTAAAATTTTGCAGCGCTTTCGCAGTGCACGAAATGTGATGTTCTCTGCTTTAGCGACTCACGAGCACTGCTTTACAGACGCTTAAGCGCTGTGCAACCATAAAAGTGAACTGCTGCAGCGCTGCGGCAGCGTTGCGTCGTTCGTACGGGTTATTAATCCGTGTTTTTTTAATCCACGTTTTATCAATTCCAGTCCATGTTTTATCACATGCCCGCGTACTCTGCAATCCAGCTGACAGTTCTAGTGTCAACACAAATCAGGAAAACATGCCCACAGCCAAAAAACTACACATGTAGCTAATCAGGTCTAGGCATTCCGGAGAAAACCAAAGAAATTATCGTTATTTAGCCGTAATAAAAAAGCTTAAGGCTTAAAACAGAGGTAAAGAAAATCATTCAACAGCTGATTTAACGGTACACTGCATTTGTGATCAAATCCTGTCAGAAAACATCTAGAGAAACATATTAAACCACAGGAACTAATTACTCAATAAGCATGGAACAGACCAGCTTCATAACCTCTAAATGTGAGACTCAAAGCGGCCAAACAAAAATTTGCTCAATCAAAGTGT